AAGCGGATTTTTTACATATAAATTGTTTTTTGAATTTAAAATTCACGATAAAAATGACAAAGATACAATAATTAAAATATTTAGAGCAGATTATTAAAAAATAATGTAATATCCCAAAGCAATTTCAATGAGAAATGTTTGTTAAAATTTTTAAAATTTATATACTAATTTATTTAAATGAATTTCTATGGAAAATAATATATTTCGAGATTTCGATATCAAGCTACAAAATTGTGAATACGAATTTAGGATTAGTTATTAAACTTTTCCCGACTTTACATAGATCTGCTCTTATCTTTATATAGATATAAAAATTTAAATATAATTTTTTAAATTTATGTTTAAAAAGATTGATACTTAGAGATTTGCTACAAAATCAAAATTTAATATAAAAATTAAGGGTGAAAATTTAAATTTTAAAAATTGAAGCACGGAAAATAATTTTTGTAAATTTTACTTTTATATTGTTTACTTGGTTTATAATTAAAGTTTCATTAAATCATGTAATATTGAATCATTAAATTCTTGATATTCAAAAATAACTTTTTTAATTGTGTCCAAGTAGGGGTTACCGAAATGTTATTTTTTTTGGAGTCTCATTTGCAGACTTATCATCCTGACAAATAGCAAATTTATAACAAAATGGATGAGCATCAAAAACCAAATGGTCTGGAAAAAGTAGATTTTGAAATCGGCTACGTATCCAAAACTGATAATGCCGATCAAACATAACACCAACTGAGTTCTTTCTGAAATCACAGGGTTCGTCCACCCTCTACCGTACTTCCATAGAGTACAATAATACTCGCTATTCATGTTCTATTATATAATTAAATTATTTACTTAGACTTTAATATAAATTAAATTATAAAATGTTTATTTATTGGAATAAAATATATTACTACTTACTGTTGTCAAATTATCTAGTCTATTACGACATAACAATCATTTGTACATTAAATTTATTTACCAGTGATTTTATAGTGTTTTGTTGAAAACACTAAATAATAAAGCTAGCCCTAATATGGTCTATCATATTTGACATTAAATTAAATTTATAATATTTTTAAGTTCAAGATTATTGATTATTAAATCAAATATACTGTGTATATATAGTACAGGACTCACAGTTGAGTTATGGTAAGTTAGGTTAGCATATCTATTCTATAAGTCAACTAAATATATATCCACTCAAATATATTTATTTGAGTTAAGCCATTTAAGATAAAGGCCTTTTGGTGTAGAACCATAATGTAATGTAACAAAATACGCCATAATGTCATATTTTATTTCATTTAACAGAGATCATTCTGCAAATTGTTTTAAATTTGATGGAAATTTAATCCTAATGAATCTCAATTTTGATTTAATATTTTCTTATGGCTTAAAAAAGAACTCAACCCTATGTTTGCTTCTTGAATTCAATCAAATAATTCAATCCTAAAATATGTGACATTTGATGAAACTACAATTCAAATCTGTTAAAATAACAGATTTAGTAGCATAATTGATGCACATATTTTTATTGCAAAAACTAAATGGGGAACCTCGTTAGGCGTCAGCAAATTGTGCCAGGATAATCTGCAATAACATAAACTCAATGATCATATCTACCATTTGAATTGATTAAACTTTTCGAATACCACCAACTAATCCCGTAAATCCAATTATAGTCACTGGTGACATGCACATTTTACATATTAAATAGCATTATAAATATTAACGGCACTTCACTAATACTTTGACCGCAATTATTCAACAGATTTTAATACAAATTGTGATTATATTTACAAAAAATATGTCTATGAATTGATATAAAAATATTACTGTATGATTGAATAGCCATCCATATTTATAATGTTATTTTATATGTAAAATGTTCATGTCACCAGTGACTATAAGTGGATTTACGGGATTAGTTGGGGATATTCGGAAAGTTTGATCAATTCAAATGGTAGATATGATCATTGAGTTTATGTTAATGCAGATTATCCTGGCACAGTTTGCTGACACCTAACGAAGTTCCCCATTAAGTTGGTATAAATTTGTATTGGTGATATTTGTTTATTCATAAAATATAAAATTTTAAAATAATCTATAAATATTTCTTTTCAATTTTATTGTCTTTCTATTCTCCAAAGGATTTAATTTGTAAACAAATTCATTAATATAATGTTTTGATAGCTCTAAATTTGTGCTAAAATAATATTTATAACATCTAATTTATGTCCTAGAACACATATCTAAAAGATTACAAGCATCCTTCACTTAAATGTTTTTTCCATTAGAGAACTGAGACATTTTCAATTAAAAGAAAGTGAATTTTAAAATTATTTTACATTTTTTAGTTTTGGAGTAACAGATTTTATACGAACTTTGTTTCCGTGCCTGTTTAAATACCGTAGTAATAGAATATTAAATTATAACTAAGATCCGTAATAATAATTATTAAATAATGTTTAGAAAGTTTGTCTCAACAAAAATTTTGGAGCAAAGAGTTAATATTAACCATCATATTCACCAAGTACTAACAAATAAATGTAGACAAATAAACTTGTATTAATATGAACTTATCAAAAAATTAGTTTAACTAATAATGAGTTTATACATATAAAGTACTCAATGATTAAATCTTATGATATTATATGATAATTTATTTTAAAATATAACGTGAATAAACTTTTAATACCCAAAATTATTTATTGGCTTTAAACATTCATATTAACTTATATGACTGTATACTTGATAAATATGCAGGCTAATATTAAGGCTTTGCTCCAAAATTTTAGTTTAGACAAATACTTTCTAAACACTATTTAATAATTATTTTTCCAGATCTTAATTATAACATTTAAAACACTTAACATATAACTTACCAAGATTTCATTATTACTTTTAATAGTAAGATCTAATATTTTAAACTGCGTTTTCATAGCATTGGCGGTTTTTGCTGTCAGCCCAAATTTCTTTGCTTGACTCTCCTGGTTATTCACGCGGCAAATTCCATTGTTTATTAATATTTCCTTTAAAGGTTTGTAATGCACGTACATTTTCCCGTTCTCACGATTATTATCTTGCGTTACATAATAGCACATTATATTATCTTTATGATCTCTTTTGACTATGGCCCAGCTTCTCAAAAACATCCCATGCTGAATTTCGATCATATCACCGGATTTTATTACCATGCTCGAAATATATTCATAATCACCAAATTTATCCTCGTTTTGCCAATTTCCTATCCACCATATAAACGTCCATATTAATCTATTAAGTTAAAGAAAACATTTTAAACAAAAATATTATAAATTAAAGTTGGTTATTAGTTTAGTACTACAATCTATGCTACTATTATATTATTTTTCATAAAAGAATTTTTAAATTATTCTTTTTAATGTAACCCGCTCTTAATTTTTGAAAATTTATCATTTAAACAAAAATAATCAAGTTTTTAATTTATGCGATTTCAATTTTAAGTGGATTAACTATCAAAATTTGAATTTAATTCTTTTATGAATATTATTATTTTTGTCTATAACACATGAAATGATAACTTACATTTTTAAATTTGTACAAATTTGTACTATTTTATTGAATTCTTGGGCTTAAAATAAAAGTAATTTTTTATTTTATCATATGAACTTTATAACTTTAATTCATGAGATCTCACCTAACGTCCGGATAACACTTTTGGATTTGTCCAGGTTGTCCATAAATTTAACGGTCTAATAGAGACAAGATGATAAATAAAAACTCCCTCACATAATCAACATAACTCTATGATACCAACTTTACCCTACCCTATCATACCCCACCATTACCTAACCTAACCTAATCCCTATTACTTTAACTTAATTTAGCACAACCTTACACAACAACAATTCTTAACATAACCTAACCTAATCCGCTCTAACTCAAACAAACCATTTCCCTCAAAATTAGCATAGGTTATTGCTACTCATAATCGTAAATTCCCATAGGTTTAACATGGGATTTTTAAATATTTCAAGCAAATTCCCTTTGAATTTACATAGGATATAGGGAATATTGTAAACAATTTTTCCATAGACTTAACATGAGATAGTGAACATATTTTAAGTAAACTCCATATAGGATTGGCATGGAATATTGGGACCATTTAAGCCAATGCTCCCATAATATTAGGATTGGATTTTGTGTCAATCTTTACCAATTTTCTCATAGACTTAGCATGGTATATTGGAACCAATTAAGCCAATTTTCCCATAGGCTTAACATTGGATATTGAAAGCATTTAAGTCAATTTTCCTATATGCTTAACATAGAATATTAAGCCCATTTGAGCCAAATATTTCATTAAATCAGCATTGGATTTTGGGGCCTTTAAATGAGTCTTGTCCATTTTTCGCTTAACACTGAGATTTTTGGTTCCAAAACCAACATTTTTTGACACGCCTTATGCATCATTATAATGCACCATTTTACCATAGGTTTAACATTTAGATAAATACACAGGGTCATTACGTCATCGTAAATACTTTTGCCTACGTTTGCTGGCACTTTTCAAAGTACAGTACTTTTGCTTTTACGACAAAAACCCCATGTTAAGTCTATTAGATTGATCAATTAGGCGTCATAAGGATCATTAATGAAGGAGTGGGTGTGGGGGAGGGTGAGTGATTCTATATACCGCGATTAATAATTTGTAAACTGTTAGAACTGCATTAAATATTTGTTAATAATATAATTTACATATTTGGTTTTATATCCATATTTTTACCAGATGTTTTATAGAATAATCTAGTACATGTATAACAAACACTTAAATGCAATGTTGAAACCTTCGTATGGGTCTCTCATAAATGATATAAATAAAATTAACCAGCTACTCACATATGACTTTTTCATTTTATTTATATCCATAACTTGCGCTTTTTTCGAAATATTCTCTTTTTGGGAGTTATTCACGCGACAAATGTCTACCGTTTTTGTACCGGCCTTATACTTATCTACTAAGTTGATCAGTTTCTCACATTTCTCAACAGACGATGAACAGACGTCATCACTGATATAAGGTTTACACCAGACATTGTCATCGTCTATGGACTCGCATATAAAATAATATTCCATTGTATTTGGACCCAATATCTCGATGACATCTCCTGGTTTGACTACCTCGCAGATCTCATCATATGTGCCAAATGAGTCCAATCGTCCATCTTTACCCCCAAATGACTGATCAGAACCCATACTGTAGTGGTCAGTATGCTGCCGCTCGCTTATGTCGGTAATCTTAGTCATAAACCTATAAATAAAAATAAATCATCCCTAACTGTTAGCAACTGGTTTAGGATTATTAAGCTTGCTAAATTAAAGATAAATAATTGCAAATTAATTTAACATCATGATTAATATACTTATTAAAGTTATCCAGCTGGGCTTTTTGGTTTTCAATCAGATTATTAATAACAGCCACATGTCGAGCCTCGCGCCGATAACATTGGTCAATTATGGCGGCCATGCCAGTCTGCATATTACGTGTATACTCAGCCATTTCCTTGATCCTATTAATGTTAACATGGGCGTTTTCTGAGTTTAGTTTCTGGGTCAATGCCATAGCCTCCCGATTTTCATCAGCCCTTAACTGGATATGACTTTGGGCATTTTGATTTTTAGCAATGGCATTTGCCACGGCTATTAACGGTGCTGCTAACGGTATGAGCTGGGCCATTTTTTAGTAATATAGTTATGGTCGAACTATAATATTTAATTAAATAATAATATAAAATATGAAGAGATGTTATCAAATTTGATTTAATATGTCTACATAACACTCTGTAGTATAATATTATAAAAGTAATGTTCATTAAAAAAGCATCAAGGCCATTATAATGAACAGCATGCACGTAAATAATAGGTCGTTCACGTGAATATAATTCTAGCAAAACTTTAATAAGTTTTTTGTTATAAGTCCTAGCCAAAATCGGTAAAAAGTATTTTAAACGTCTATTTAATGCAGTTCTTATCCAATTAGTTAAAAACTGACCTGGGCATATGACCTTTGCGTTTGTCCCGTAATTTTAATGACTAAATTTTTTATAAATTTTAATTAATTAGAAAAGAACTGTATTAAATAGATGTATAAAATACTTTTTACCGATTTTGGCTAAGTGTTATAACAAAAAACTTATTAAAGTTTTGCCAGAATAATTTTCACGTGTACGACCTTATATAGTAACTTGTCACACTTGTCGATATAAATATGAAAATTAAAAATTTATATGAATTGTATTCATACTGTATGATAAACTTACTGTAAAAGAGAATTATCTTTAAATAGAAATATACGAATAACATTGACTTATGTATAAAGTTCATAAAATAAACTATAGGTAATGTATTAACCTAATAAATGAATGATAGGTTATGTAAGTTTATTGTAGTGTTTAATATTATATTTATATAAATATAAATACAATGAATATTATTTTAAATTAATTATAAATATAAAAGATTAAGATACAAAAACACTAAAATAAACTTAAATCCCCTATTATACATTCATTAGATTCATAGATTACCTATAATTTATAATATAACTTATAATATTAATCAGATATTTAAATTTAGACAAAGATATGTTTTATAAAAGGCGTATCATATATGAACCATTTCAATTTCATAATCATATAAATAAGTAAGAAATATTACTTCAATTGAATGAAACTTACATTTAAATGTTAATATTCAAGGAAATTTTTACAAATTTTTAGTAAAAATATCGTATAAATTATAACAGAATTATTTAGATTATTATATTTTAAATCAATTTAAATCAATTAGAAATACAATAATTAAAAAAACACAAATTTAGTTTTATAAAAAAAATATAATATAAATTTTTAATAAAAAATTAATAAAACGCAGTTGTAATAAACATTTTAAGCGTATTATAATGTTAGTTACCAACTGAACCATAGTTACCAAGCGATTTAATCTGGGCAATAAATATCATATACTTTAGATTACAATTATGTTTACGATAACTTTAGTTTTATCGCACAATATAACAATGCATTGCATTATACAGGAACAGAAAATATATTAAATTTCCTATTATCAGACTTGTGTAGTAGTAGGCAGTGTGGTATAATAATTGAGAGAAACTTCAAATCTAGAACTAGTATCTTAGTGTTTTATGCTCTCATTTTATTAATACAAATATGTTATGCCTTATATCTCATAAGAGACTAATATTTAGAGACAAATCATATTAATTATTAAATATTGAACAAAACCTACAGATCATTTCAAGCCATAAAAAATGTGATTAATATAATTTTCGGTGTATTCCCTTTCTATGGTTTAGCTACCAGTTTTCATCCATTTGTTTACAATTAACTTATTTTACGGTTTATATACATATCGGACTATATAACTCGAATATCCATTGGGGGTTAACTAAATACACTGTACTTTTGTTATCAATACATTGTATTTATTGGAAATTAATTACTTTCAGACACGTAGACCAATGTTAGTGAATAGCCAATATGTTATGAGTAAGAATAGGACAAATATTAAATAAATATTTATTATAGTGTTTTTCATAAAAAATGATTTTGGTACAACGCCATTATATTAGCAAGCAGATTTGTTAAATAAATTTATATTAATATAAATGTGTTACTACTTGATGGCATAGTAAAAGCCTTTGCCGCCAACAACGCCAGCCCTCCAGTTAGTGTACCAACCATACCGTCAACAACATGGCACTGAGTACCGGCTCCTACGTTCTGGTCCCACTCTCTGGCATTCAATCTAACCTCGAAATTGCTTATTTAACTTTAACTAGATACATTAATATTTCATGTAACATTGTTGATATTAATTTTTATAATATCAATGAATGTTAAAATACTGATAATGTGTTTCGCATATTATGGGGCCATAACTAATTTAATCAATTGCTTCACTTTTTCAGTCATTGAAACATTAGTTGTGTGGTCCGCATCACAAATGGCGTTCTCGGGGACAACCATTTGATGCCAAAGTATGTGGTCACCACCAACAACAGGATAACCCCTATCCATACCCCACAGGGTATTGATATAATAGCTGTGGTGCTGCCGACAACTATAGCCCCCACGCCCACTACTGCGAGTCCCATACCCACTGCCACTTCCACGACAGTAACCTGAGTGGACCACCCCTTCCCGTACTTCCATTGAGTGCATTAATACTCTACGTTACGGCTCTGTAGTCACAGGAAAAAACATTTTTAATTAATTGAATCATATTATAAACTTGTGCCAAGTATTCAAACAGTATACTTTCATATTACAGTACTGTATTGTTTAGTAGTAATAATATAATATTGTGTAAGCAGGGTTAATGTATCCTTTTTGAATACAGTTGAGCCCACATTATATTACTTACATCGAGTCTATACTGGACTTTCATATCTTTCAATGCCTTTAGATCTGCAAATACTGATCCAATGGTCGAGCTGTCACTCGCTTTCGGTTGGCCTGCCTTTCCTGGTCGTTCACCCGACACAAGTCCGGCCCCTTCGTCCCCTTTCTGTCCAATATGTCACTCAACGGGTGATACCTCACGAAGACATTAAATTTGGACATATTTCTGTTCGGAGATATATGATAGCACCAGATAACACCATGGTCAGTTTTCGACTCGCATATCACCCAATGCTTGAAACCCAACGGCCCCTGCACTTCAATTAGATCTCCCGGTGCGACCATTTTGTAGATATCGTTGTAAGAGCCAAATGAGCCCACATTTGGTCGGTATTTGCTACATTTTGACATACTCGCCCCCATGGTACTAGTACTCTAAGCTGTACTCTGCCATTATATTTTATTTTATCATAAATCAACCTTTTCATTATATGATACATATTTAAATATAAAATAGCATTATTTATACTATAAAATATTTACCATTAATAATTTAATGTTAATGGTAGCATTGTTGTAGTTTTTTAAAAATAACAACATTAAAAATATAATTAAAAGTATAAATACATACTTAAGTTATGTGTTTTAACCGACTGTAACCAACTGTGTTTAATAACTGACTTGTGAGACAAACATTTCGTAAGTCTTATGATTGTAAGTGTTTTTGGGTTTAAATTACAAGTAAACATTTAACTAATATAAATTTTTAATTAGAGATACTGTATTTATTTTAGACTTAATTTTTGTTTAAATATTAACTTATATTTCTAAATATATTGTTAATGTTTATTAAGATTTTCAAGTTAGCATGATACAATTTATTGTAAATATTTTTAAAATAAAATTTAGATTATTAACCTCATGTAATATTGTAGATAATAACTTATTTTGAATCTGATTTCATTTAATTTGATTATAAATAGTGTTTTGTAAAATATTGATATTTAATAAAAATTTAATTAAAAGTTCATGTTTAGTAATATCAAAGTAATGATGTTAAATAATTACTACTTTTATATAAACATAATAACATAATATTATAAAACAATTCTTTATAATAAGATAAAGAGATTATAATATTATATATGAAACTGGGATAATACATGATTATAAAATTATTATTTATACAAATTTTCAAGTTATTTGTACCCAAAAATAACATAAATTATAGGTCATATAACAAAAGTTTATAATTGTTATTACAATAAAATACTGTATATCCAAATTGTTATTAAAATTTACAATAATTTATTGCATTCATTTTCCCATACAATACCCAAGCAACAGGGCCATTATAATGAACAGCATGCATGTAAATATTAGAGCGATCATTAAAATGACATGGTCAGTGTGTTGTCTCTTTCTTAACTCTTTATACCTATTCTTTAACCTATAAATAAAATTAAATAATCCTTAACTGACTAGTTTATAATTATTAAGCTTGCAAAATATTTCAATTAATAATTACAAATTAATATAACATCGTAATTAACATACTGATTAATTTCTTCCTGCTGGTCTCTTTGTTTTTCAAACAGATGATTAATTGACTGGTATAATCGTGTCACGGCATTTATTATCGGTGCTAACGGCATGAGCATTTTAGCTGCTATTTTTTAATATTGTAGTTATGGCAGATCTATATTTAATTAAACAATGACAAAGTATCAAATTTCGTTTAATATGATTACGCAACACTGTTTTGTATAATAAGTAATGTTACAACAAATTTGACATCCTTGTTTTAATAATTAAATAAAATATGATAATTATTGTTTAATTTTGTACTTATATAGGCTTATATTTGACCTTTAAAAAGTCTACATAAAATAAAAGAAAACACAAAATTATAAAATAATAATTATTAAATTATACGTACTGGTATACTATATTAGCAGAGTTTGGATTTGAAATAAGGAAAATAATAATAAATATCACATTGAATAATAGTTTTTATTAACTTATTTTGTCTGATTAATACGAAAAATAAGTTAGTTTATAAATTTGTACTTTGCTCAGATTGAAATTCACAGTAATTAATCCAGTGATAAATATTAGATATGAAAATATTACAAATAAATTCATAATCATAATATACACTAAAACCTATTTATGGACTACCAAAATACCGTGTTTGGTCACTTTTAAAACTTTACATATTTGTGATATATATTTTAAATATAATAAATAATTATTCTACTAGGGTACTGTACAGCTACAATGTCTACATTTACCCACATTACAATACATTTGTCAATATTGTAGCTTTTACGCTAATCTTTGTAATAATTAGAGCACCGGTAGCTTAATTATAGTTGATTTAGCTTGCTTAATAAAATTACACAGTTTTAATATGCGCAAATTAATTATTTTAATTTAATATAGTCACTGATACATTACAAAAGTCATGCTATGGCCTAACATTACAATACAAACTGGTTTTCTGTGTCACATAGTAGT